ATTACACCCCCTCACCGACGACGACGACACAAAGAAAAAGAAAATTTTTTTTTCATTACGACGACGGCGATGATGATGATGAAGACGAACGAAAAAAATCCACATCGAACACACAAAAAACCCTCATCCAAATAAAAAAGCACACATTCATATCCATACATACAAGCACACACATATATATTTCCCCATGCATGAGCAGTAGTAGTAATAATACAACACCATCAAACAGTAAGCAGGCTGACAGGCCAGCCAGGCATTCACAACGAGAAAGCCAATGCAAAAATAAACCCCATCAGAAAAAAAACAACAACACCACACACCGAAGACAAGTCTCGAAACAAAACGAAAAAAAAACACCAACGAAAACCCAACCGCTCACTATTTTACACAACTCACACACACGCACACTTTCACACAACAAATACCCATCATACCAAAAAGTGCACAGACAACACACACGCACACACAACATAACAGAAAAATAAATAACAACAACAACGACGTAAAAATAACTAAAGAACGACTAACGAAAGCGAACGGCAAAAAAAATGTAACCAGAAAAAAATGAAAACAAATACAAACACACACACGCATAGCAATGTGAGGAGAGGTATTCTGTTTTACCTTCAAATGATAATGTTGTTGTCTCACAGTGAGAGAGATGTTAACAGAGAATAGGAGAGCTTAACCGTTGTTCTTGTTTGTAATAAGAATTACAGAAAGCACAACAGCATCGCCAGCGATATTAATACGAACTTGTAAATCTGTTGCAAAAGATCTCCTCTTCTCAGCCGAACTCATACGGCAGCTACTCTATTTGTTGTGTGTGAAGCAGCGCGCCAGAGATCGCCAAAACATGTTGTTTTGGTGTGTTGCCACTTGTTGCTGGAATTACAGACTATGGTATTGCGGATTTATGTCAATTTATTTGGGATCTTTTGAAGAGATTAAAATTAAAAAAAATAAACAAAAATACCCAAACTATACATATCGCACCATTTCTTCCAGTCTTAAATCAATCATGCCTGTATAATGTTGGAATGTTGGCCCACTGCTTTTAGTACCTCATCCACAAATGGTCAACATTTTGAAAATTTTATAAATCCCATATGATGAGAATGGAATATCCAATGTCATTCAAACTTTTCATACAGTAATATTTTTAATAAACCTAGATGAAATCCGAAGATGGAATCCATTGCATTTTGAAAATTTATAAAATTAATGTAGCAGACGGAATGTCCAAACTCTCCTCATCCCAATATTTTTTTCCCAAACCTAGATAAAGTTCGAAGATTCTGGTAGATCGCCTTCAAAGTGTTGAAAGTTTTATATAAACTGAATTTGTACTTTTTGTGGTTATATTAAATCATATAAGAATATATGTCGTGTTCAGTGTTGCCGTTCCGAATTAAAAATGGACTGAATTATCAATCATCGGACCACACCGAAAATTTATAGGTTTTTTCAGACCAATTTTGGTGCGAAATGCTCAAAACGGCAACATTTGGTCTCTTACATCAATTAAATTGATATCAGATTTAAAGTCAACCATAGCACTCGGATAATGGGGTTATAAGGGGTACCATTATATGGGGGCTATCCTAAAAAGTGGACAAATTTTGATAATTCTCTGCAGGAATTAGAAATACGTAGTCCAGCGCAAAAGTCGACTTTTCGATTCTTGCCTCTATCAAAAAAAAAAAAAAAACTGAGCGGAGCAATATAGTCGGACGGGACCGAGCATACGATACCCTACACAACTACAACGAAACTCTAAATTCCTGCGGATGTTTATTCCGAGGCTGGGCAATATTTCGAGATATATACACCTACTTTCCCGATTAGAGGTCAAAAGCAACTATTCCTTGCATTGACATATTTTCCGAATATTACTAATATTCTGTATAGCCCTTCTAATTACTTGTCCAGATTGCCTTCAGAGTGGGTAGTTTTGTGATGTTCGGCTTATAATTGTGGCCTATAGACTCGATAAATACACAAAAAAATAGGTTTTCAGTCCATTTCATCCAAAAATTATTCGCCGAAAATTATAGGCGTTTTCCTTGACCCTAACTGGAACTTCATAGAAGTTTTCAAAGAAATCTGCGATATATTTCCACCCTGTAGTGTGGAAATGGGTTACTAAATAACATATGAATACGTAAGCACCTTTAAATATTTAAGTGTAACTCCCACATCCGAGTACATTCTACACTCCTCTTGGATATACTATCAACACCTCGTGTCTGTGTCCTTCAGGCGTAAATATATACGCTATAGAATACAAATGTAATTTTTCACACAAAAGTCAGTGTCCATTTGACCCACTAAATATTGACCGATCTTTATCAAAACAGGCATGCTTATTCTTTGGCCCGATCGCCTTCTCCATGTAAAAATTCGCGATGTGTTGACCATAATTGCGACCTCTGGAGCGAACAGAAAATCAAAAAAATCAAAATCATTAATTGTTTGAAAACTCATTCAAAGCAGGGATAAAGATGCTCAGAATATTCTAATGAAATGTTCCCCATAATGTTTTTATAAGTTTCAGAATAGACTAAAACTCAAAATATAGCTTAAACGTCAAAAATCTTAAAAAACAAAAACTCATTTTAGGGTTAAAATCGTACTTATTACTAGTTTAATTATTGAAAGTAGTCTCATTTGATAAATCGATGATGGCAACTCCAGCACTCTATATATTTTGTTTCTTCATACTATTTTACTTTCTCCTGTCCTTAGTGAAGTTTTCATTGTTCCAATCCTATTCTGATAAGACCATTAGGTCAATGATTGTAGTCAGGCTCGAATGAACTTTATAAATGTCAAAGCCATATACTGGTACAATAATGGTTCAAAAAGAAAACATTTTTGAACATAGGGGTTCACGATATACCTTCCTTATTATACCAATGTTGTGATTATTACTAAAAAAATTGAAAAAAAATCTTTATTCAAGATGTAAACTGATTCTTGACATACTGTATGACAAGCTAAGGGTATATATCTGTAAGTCGTTGATGCTCAAAACTTCCCAAAAGCATACGTTAGCGTAAATTAAAAAAATCTTTATTCAAGGTGTAAACTGATTCTTACACGCACTTCGTGATTGCAAGGCTGTTCTACATGATATACATATAATTTATGTGAGATTCCAGGACATAGCAACATAGAAGGGAATGAGATAACCGACGAGCTTGCTTAAGGGGGTTCACAGTCGTCTAACCTTTCGATTGAGAGATCTGTGCAAACGCCCATTGGCTATTTCATTGACAAAATCCGCTTGATCTACGGCAACAGATGGTCAAGAGAGCCTGGTTGCAGAATCTAGAAATCTATCTCGCCGAAGAACATTTTCGCCATTGTCCCATAATAAGAGAGAAACTAAAATCATTGTGGGGATCATAACAGGTCACTGCAAGATTAGATCGCTCACTTCAAAATGGGAATCCAACGGAGAGGATTGCTGTCGTCTATGTGAGGACAAAGATGAGCTAGAAACAATTGAACGTATCCTCTGTAGATGTCCATCGGTGAGTGGCAGAAGATACAAACAGTTTGGAAGATATGAAATTAATAACCTAGCAGCTTTCTTCTCCAAAATAGACCCCAATCAAATCCTAAGTTTTGTAAAAAATTTGGCATGGCTAAAATAATCACTCACACGGAAAGGATTACTGTCGTCTATGTGAGGACGTAGAGGAGCTAGAAACAATTGAACATATCCTCTGTAGATGTCCATCGCTATTGGCAGAATGCAGACAGTTTGGGAGATGTGAAATTGATAATCTAGCTTTCTTCTCCAAAATAGACCCCAATCAAATCCTAAGTTTTGTAAAAAAAATTGGCATGTCTAAAATAATCACTTTCTAGGCTCTCCAACTATTTTCATCTCTTCCATTCTCATTTCCTTTTCTTTTCATATATCAAGGATGATCACAATGGACAATTGTCTCTGAGTGAACCGTTGTAAATTAGCAAACATACATCTCCAAACTAACATCGACTGACACTTTTCCATTTTTTTTATTATCTCTTAATTTATTATCTTATTACAATAAAATGTCATTGAACTGTGCTAAACCACTTGACATTTTATAAAAAAGTGTAAAACGATGAGTAAATCCCCTAATCCCCAAATCCTATTTTCTTTTACTTGCAGATTAACACGAAGTGGCAACCACTTCCAACAATCAAAACAACAATGTTGTTCTCGTGAAATTGAAAAGATAAACAACAGCTGAGACGGAGAAAGAAACAACAAAAAGAACGAGCAAAGAGTTTCGTTAGTTGTGTGGGTGGGTTAACAGAAAAGTGTACGCCACCCAATGTGTTAGTGAGCGAGAGAGAGAGTGTGTGCAATTAAGAGAACAACAATTCAACAGTGTCGCACAGCTGACTCGCAGTCAGCACGGTGAATGTGTGAAAAGAAAAAAATATAAACACACAAATACTATTGCAAAAGCAAGAAGAAGAACACACACATTCGCTGCAATACACTCTCATATAGTAAAAGCAAAAAAAATATTTTATTAAAAGAAGAAAAATTAAAAACAACATCAAAGAAAACAAATAAACAATAAAAAAGAGAAAGAATACAAATTAACCGCTAATATTAAAAAAAAGAATTTAAGAATAAATATTAAAACAATATGTGTTAGTAGTGTGCGGTGTATGACAGTTTCGAAAATAATACCAAGCAAAAGTAGAATCTGCATTACAAACAAAACCGAAGTGAAAGTGAAAATAAAATTCAAATTTTAATTCACAATTTTAGTGGATTAGTAAAAGGGATGAAAAAAGGAAAATAAGAAAAATTATAAAATAACACACGAGTGATAAAATTGTGTTAAAAATTAAAAAAAATCACAAAAATTTACTCTGGATTTAATTAAAACACACGTCACTGGGAATTTAAATCAACTTTTGACGTTAAAAATAATTCCATCTCACCTTTTCGATCACCACCAACCACACATCATAATCTCCACACCATGGATTCCCGTCCAAATTTGGAAAATTTATGCCGCGTCTGTGCCGCCAATACCAAAGGCAAAAATTCCGAATGTGTTTACATTTTGAAAACGCCCGGCCTCCGTGATAAATTGGATAAATTTCTTTATTTAAAGGTGAGTAGCGCGAAGCTTCGTCAAATCTCCCCTCTGCTTATTAATCTCTGAGCGGAGATTAATAAATGCATCATCGTCCAACACTTTGTAATTTTACGTAATTTTTGTTGTTATTTTTTATTTTCAAATGCCAATCAATTTGCAATAACACCACCGCTTCGCTTGCTCTGCTGCCTGCACATTGTTTTCTTTTTTCATTCTTCCATTTGTTTTGTTCAATATTAAATCGATGCAGTTTTGATGCTTTGTTGTTGGTGCTGTTGTTATTACTGGCATTGTTCTTATTTTCATTACAGTTTGTTTTGTTTTGAAAAAAAAAAAAAACATAGCCTATCTACCTACCACTACTAGGGCAGTTTAATAAAACTAATACTTAAGCATTCTCACAGAATACGCACAGTGCAATATTAATTACTGGGTTGCCATATTATATTAAATAATTGAGTGGTGGGTAGCATAATCTTAATTTTTGTCTGTTTTTGTGGTTACTTTGGACGACACTATTAAGATTTCGATATCGCGTAATTTTACTCGAGAAGGAATCTGGAAATAATAAAGACTATTTTGATAATAAGCGGATCAAATGGATAAGGGTTTTGGTGTCCGGAGATACTAAGACCGGAAAAGTTGGTAATATATCCATGATGACCTTTAATGGTGTTAATTTAATCTATACAGTAGATATCGGATATAAGCACATCTCATATGAGAAAAAATCACATGTGAGAAAGATTATCAAAAATACCTAGCTTATACTTTCTTATATCCGATAATTCCATATAAGAAAAAAACACATATAAGAAAGAAATCTCCGGATTTTTTTGAGTTTCTTATATCCGATATCTAATGTACTAATAAAAGAGTAATGACTGACTGATTTAACGATTCATCAACGCCCAACGAAAAGGCTGAAGCTAGAATCTTGACATTTTGGGTGAGGGTCACTCTTGGTCCAAATGTGACAGATAAGGCTGGGTTTTTCGTACTAGAACAGAAGAAAAGTACTAAATGTGATACCATTTGTATTTGGCGAACCGGTGGATCTAGAACTCTGAAATTTGGTTAAGTGGTTAAATGTTCGAAAAGTACGAAAATGTACTAAATTTGGTGCAATTCTGTAACATATGAACGGATAGCGCTTAAAACTTGAAATTTGGAGTGTTAATTAACCCATTGAGCCACGATTTTTTTCCGCCATCTTAGAATCAATTTAATGCAACTATCCTAAATAGAATATGCACAAAAATTGACATCGCTAAATCCTTGAATTCGGACGATACAGTACATTCTTTCGAAAAAAATTAAAGTCCAATATCAAGAAAACCAAACCAAAACCAAGATCGGCAAAAAATCATTTTAAATTATTCTCTATAATCATTTTTTACAAGAACGAAAAATAATTCTGATGACAGAATTCGTACAATTTGAATACGAAGTGATTTATATAATTTGTACTGTATACACAAATTAGTACTGTACACAAATGTACCCACTTCTCTATATTGAATGGCTCATAACTTTACCAACATTTTGAATTTTTTTGATTTTTCTTTTGATATGTGTCGTCCATAATCAGGTCTTGACATATGAAGTCCAAATAATATATATCTACCATCAGCATGTTAAATATAAGCTCTAAAACATTTTGTTGCCTGTGGGCAACATTGGGCCACAAAGGGTTAAGGTTGAGAGGTCCACTTAAGGAGATGGTTTTGAAAGCGTGTACTCATGTGTACGAAAAGTACTATATGGTACTATATTTGCTACAAATTTAATTTGGAGATACAAATCGAGTTGGAATCCTGGAATTTGAAATTAAAATTACCGTCGGAGTGTAGGATTGGGATATAAACGTAGTTTTGGAAATTTTCTTACTTATGTGTACGAAAAGTACTAAATCGTACTATAATTGGTAAAATTTGGATTTGGGTGAACCGATAGAGCGGAAACAATGAAAGATGGAGTCATGATCGCTGTAGGGGGGGGGGGGGGGGTGGTCAGGATTCAGTTTAAGAAAATAATACTTATGGGTACTAATTGTACTAAATTTGGCACCATTGGAATTTTATGTGAACCAATAGAGCTAGAATCATGACATTTGGAGTTAGGATCACTGTTGAAGTGTAAGATTGAGATATGTAGAAAGTTTTAGAAATTTGTACTGTGTACAAAATTTGGTACAATTTTAATTGTGGGTGAACCGATAGAGTTGGAATCCTAAAACTTGGATTTAGAATCAGTGTTGGAGGTAGGATTGGGGTATGTAGAATATTTTGGAAATTTATACTACTGTGTTCTAAATTTGGTACAATTTGAATTGAAATATATTTGCCTAGATCAAGTTTAAAATTGGGGTCCGTTGGTCTACTCCTTTTGGTATTTCCCCACAACGTGTCAACATTTTGAAAATTTGTCAATCCAATATCAAGATAATGGAATGACTGATTTGATCCACATTTTGAAAGTCGTAATATTTATCCAAACCTGCATTAAATCGTATTTCGAACGTTTACTTATACTTTTGAACTGACGTTCCTGTATACGTTATTTCGGTCCCTTTTGGTATGCTGAATTCCTAGCCATGTTTTCCAATCTGGGCCTAAGTCTGTAATTTGGTATTTTTTACGAAGATCTTTATATGGTGATTAGGGTCCCTACCGATTTAAGGAATTTTGAACGCACACCCACATTCGGTTGGGATTTTTAAGGATTAAACACATTTTTGTTAGTTTTTTTGTAAGTATAAGCATACGTTTTTTTAAATATAATTTTTGGCACGAACCAAATTAAAGGATTATCTTGAATTCCTTCAAAATTTTTGCTAATAATCCTCATATGATAAAGAACCAAACTAGTTTTTAATTATCATTTATATTATACTATCAGTATGCAGTATGTTAGCAGTTATGTTTTCAACTCCTATAATATATTCAATACATCCCAATTTGACATACTGTGAGTGCTATCGATTCCCTTGCAGATAAGATTCATATATGTATATGATTATTTTTATACCCTTCACCACACTGTGGTACAGGTTATTATGTCTTTGTGCATATATTTGTAACAGGCAAAGGGAAATGAGATAGACCCATGGTTCCTTTTGAGAATATGCATAGAATCACTTTCTGAGTCGATCTACGCATGCTTCGTCTGTCCGTCCGTCCATGTATTTTTGTGAACAAAGTACAGGTCACATTTATGATCCGATTTGGATGAAATTTGGCATAGGTCACTTATTTGGCCCAAGGACGAACCCTACTGAAATTGGGAAAAATCATATTCATATTTAGATATAGCTCCCATATATATTTTCGTCCGAATTAATGTATTTGGTGCACCAAAGTCCTTATATATCTTTCGATTTGTACGAAAATTGGCACAACGTAATGAATTAGGTGAAGTGTGATTCCTGAAAATCGTCCGATTTAATGTAAATGGTGCAACAAAGTCCCTATATATCTTTCGATTTGCACGAAATTTGGCACAGCGTAATGAATTAGGAATAGAATGATGTGTGTCAAGTTTCGGGAAAATCGGTTCAGATTTAGATATAGCTCCCACATATATTTTCGTCCGATTTAATGTAAATGGTGCACCAAAGTCTCTATATATCTTTCGATTTACACGAAATTTCTGACAGCGTAATGAATTACGTCTAGAATGATGTGTTTAGTTTCCTGAAATCGGTTCAGATATAGATATAGCTTCTATATCTGACCAAATGAAAAATTTAGTATCGGTTGCAGAATGACATGTTTATGGATCCAATTTCATTTTACTGGTCCTTTAAAAATACGACGTCTGTCAGGATTCATCTGTTGAATATAATCAAAGTGGTGAAGGGTATCATATAGTCGTCCCCGTCCGGCTTTACTACTTTCATTATTGGTTTATATTTTGGGAACCAATTTTTCTACGGATTTTAATGATTTTAATTTGTAGATCTTATGTAGAAAATGTCCGTTCAAATAATTATAGCTATTTAAAGGTCAAATGCAGACCTTCGTAAAAAATCCCACATGACCTATAGCTTAAACGTATTATCACAACTGTTCATTGAAATCTTTTTCTGAGTTTGGAGGGTGATATAAATTCGTTTGCGCTAAAATTATGTCAGTTTCTTTGTTAAATTGTAATCTTGTTATCACCTCATTTCCCACATCTTTCTAATAAAGGTGGCAACACTAGTCAACATATCTCTTCAACAACTTGTTTTGCACCATGCCGTACCGTTTTCTACGTAGTTGTTGTCGTCAATGTATTGGTGTTTTACTATTTCTGTTTTTGCGTAGCGTCGTTTGTTTGTTCGTCTTACTAACAACAATTTGTACTCCCAAAAACTAAAAGCAGTCAGCGAATGAGTGAATAAATTACACGCACACCATCAACAACCACACACAGCTGCGTACGTTTTTCGTTAGTGTATGTGTGTGTGTTTGCTAAAAATTAGCAAATTGGGTATTTTCACCTTGCTTTTTTTGTTTTGGTTGGATTGCTCATTTTGTTATTGTTGTTGTTGCTGCTGCTTGTTGCAATTAATGATGCTGTACGTTTGAAGTTTTTCGTTGTTGTTGTTTTTATTTTGCTAAAAGGATTGTGTTTGTAGTCGCGGTCGTGATACATGTTTGCTGTAATGTGGTGCTTTTTTGTTGTTGTTGCAACTGGTAGTTGTAGTCTGTTGAAAACTAGTTATTGATGCTTTCGATGTTTTTGGGAGGTTTTTTTGTCGGTTTTTTCTAGTTTTTTTGTTGCTGGTGTACAGCAGCAGCAGCAGTAGTAGAGATGCCAGTAAACGTGTAATATTGTAGTGGGAAGTACCCTGTTGGGAATGTTACTAAATTAGTTACATATTTTGAATTTAACTCCTTGTACATTAGAACTTTTTACCAGGTTAACCTACTTAATTGATTTAATTGGCATATATGCAAAGGAAATGACAATTGAAACCCACTGGGTTAACGAAATCCGGTTAAATGTAAACGTAATGTTTGATAAGAATTATTAAATATTACAATGTCCCCATTCTTATTTCACTTTCTTCAATAGATAAATTTTTTAAGGATTAGCAGGTTAATAAATTAACATTTTTAGGGATATATTGTGTGGAGTACTAGTAGAATTATAAGCTTGATATACTTTTCTAATTGATATAGGGTAAACGCACCTAATTCCGGCATGTACCAATAGTCGGCATGTGTTTTAAATAACTTCAAGTAACCAAAAAATCCTATAACTAAATATGAAAAATACCTTGAATAATCTTCAATAACACTGCAACCTATATCTGTATAAAATTTAATCGAGCTAAGTACATTTATTCAATCAAAATTTAGCATTTGGTCAATGAGGTTTGTCAACACTAGCGAAAATTCATGTTTCTTAAGAAGAAATTAGTGGACATGTCGAGCTTAAAAAACTTGTAACTATATTAAATTTATATATTTTTCACAAGGATATTTTTTGTAATTGTAAAGAACATACAGGAGAACACTTAAGAATTTAAAATGATTAAAAAATATTTGTAATTATGATATTTTTATCGATGCCGTACTTAGGAACAATTTTTTTTAAGTTGTTCCAATAGTCCGCATGTGTGTCCGTCCGTCTCATTATATGGGTGAATAATAAGCAACTTTTCGATAATTTTGGCTTCAAATTTGGAAAAAAAAAATTAAAATAAGTGCTCTAAATACCGATTAATATATAAAAAATCAGTTTTGAGTGGTTTTACATAATGGAAGACATGGTTTTAATCATAAATTCGTTTAACCTCTGAAATGACTTACTTAGCCCTGCCGACAATTGGATAAAAGGTTCTCGAAGTCGGCACCATGTTTTATAATTGTAATATTTTAATAAATAAAATTATTTTATATATATATATATATATATATTTTATACTAATGGAAACGTCCGATAATAATAATTTATTAATGAAAATAGCAGAAAAATGTATTAAGTAAATAATTTTTGTTTAAAATACGACATGCGACTATTGGAACATGACATGCCGACAATTGGAAAAACGTGCCGACTATTGGCACAAAGGCACTATTTTACATAATTATCAATTAAATCTACTTTAAAACAAATTAATTAAACAAATTTTTATTGCAGAGTAAACAAAAATTGGAAACATATGAACCTAAATACAATATAGTGAAATAAATGCTCTCGGGATGGTGAAACGTTTAAATTACGAAAATCCTTAAAGTGCCGACTATTGGTGCACTTACCCTACTCACCATCCGAAAACCTGAAATTGCACCTTCAATATACCTGAATGATGTCAGACTTTTAGGAGGGGTCTATTTTTATTCAATTTCCTTTTGCCAGAAATTCCAGATTTTACCCATAGAAGTCTTTCAAAATGACTAAATGTGTAGGCTATACCAACACATGGTCGTGTATTTACCTACATGAGGGCTACGTTAATAAATGGGCCTATATCAAAAATATGTTTTTTTCGCTCTCCAAGAACCCCGAATGCCAAATACAGCCATTTCGATGAAGAAATGAGGGTAAAAAATAAATAAAAAGGCGGAAAGCCTTCATATGAGGCTATGCCAAAACATGGACTTATATAAAAAATTGAACAGAAAGAATATTATTTGAAGGAATATTATATATTATAAATAAGGTTGGATTTTTAAAGAATATTTTTGGGGCACCATCGGAGCTTTAAGCGTGAATTTTTTAAAAGTTATTTTTTGCAGCACCATCAAAACTATAAACGTGAATTTTTAAACAGTATTTTTGGAAGGACTTTCAGGACTATAAGCGCGGATTTTTTTAAAGAATATTTTTGGGATATAGGCCTGAACTATAAGCGTGAATTTTCAAAGCATATTTTTTGGAGGACTGTCAGAGCTATAAGCGTAAATTTTTTAAAGAATATTTTTGGAGTGATTTTCAGGCCTTTCTTTCAAGGCAACAAACCCGGATTTTTTAAAGAATATTTTTGGAAGGACTTTCTGGCCTATAAGCGTGGTTTTTTAACAATATTTTGAAAGGTATTTCAGGATTTGTTAAACATATCTTCCAAAAATATCTGGGCCATAAACGTGGATTTTTAAGGACTATTTTTCAAAGGACTATCATTGGAATAAGCGTGGATTTTAAAGGAATATTTTTCAAAGGACCATCATTTCAATAGACGTGGATTTTTAAAGAATATTTCCAAAGAAGGATTTTCAGGCACATAATCGCTTACATTAAAAAAAAAAACACACACACACACAATTTTGTAGCACTTTCCGGGACATGGACTTCCAGAGCTATAAGTGTTAATTTTTTATTATTCTTGAAAGGAAGTTAACGGCCATAAGCATTGGTTTTAAAATATTTTTCGAAGGACTTTTAGGGCCATAAGCGTTGATATTTTAAAAAATGTTTGGAAGGACTATTAAAAAATATATCAAGACTAAAATGGATTTAAGAACCGTATCGGGCTCATCGACAAATGAGAACCAAATTTTTTATTCTCTGCCCGAGTCTGTATTAGAAAGAATATTTTATTTGTTATTTAGAACAGCTACCACCGATACAAGTAATAATTTTTGAAGACAATTTTCTAAAATGTCCTGGGTTTGTTGTTCGTGAATACCTCAAGCAATAATAATACTCTACGAAAGCGACAGGAGCTTGGTTTATTGTTTCTTGAGATCTATCCCCTATTACAGTCAGTTGTAATATTTGCAGATATTGTTTATTATACGAAGGCGCCAGGTTGACTTCAGGGTACTCCTCGAAACCATATTACGGCCACTTCAGTAGTGAAATTGGGCAATAATTTTCAAAAAAGGACGAACAAAATCTTTCAAAATACAAGATGGTTGTGTTCTTCATGTGGAAACTGTCTTAAAACCCTTCTATGTGGATATCTTCTCAATTTTTTATTTTTATGATATTTATCACCCTAAAGAAGTCATAATGTCATGGTTTTTGCTGCGTTTTCCAAAATACATAAATGTTTTGGAACCTGCATATTTTTTCTGCATTGATGTATGTAATCCTCCAATAAATTGGAGAATGTGGCAAAAACCTTCAAAATACCAAAAAAGGGTTTGGGAACATTATAAGGGGCAAATAACCTAAAATGACAAATTACAGCTCTTTATGTGAAGATTATGTCGATTTATAGCCATATATTGAAGTTTTATTGCTTAGATGCATTTCACACTTCAAGAACACGGAATGCCAAAGAGGCAGGACATTTATACAACATACGGTGGATATTCCTACGGATGAACCGATGTTGATTTTTTTTTTTTTTGGAAGGATAGGAACACAAATTATTAACTATAATTTTATATTTTGTGTTTCCGCAATTTTTTACAATGGAAAACTTAGAAATGCGTGATTTCATTGTAAAAAATTGCGGATGCGTCTTTTTTGAACACCTGTTTCTATATAAAAGAGTTGCCAGATCGAAACAAAATTTGACATGTGTTCAAACAGAGATGGAAGTTTCAAAAACACTTAACTTTTTTCTGTTTATGCCGCTCTTTTTGTGTTTGGCTTAGAACTTTCCGAACTGCCCTCGTACATGGACCTATATATCCCATTTCAATGCCAAATATCCTAGAAGTAGCTCAAAACTCTATCATGGTACCTATTGCGAGTTCTATCGAGATTTTAACAGAATAATAAGAATATTTATAAAAAATCTACTCCTGTGGCTTGGATGGTCCGAGCTGTGTATTTTTACTACATTTACTAAAACTAATCACAGTTTAATTTTCAAAAATTTTTGTGTTGTCGGATCGACGAAAACTCACACACACTCCCAAAAAACCGACTTTTGTGAAACGCAACTCATAAATAGGAATACAAGGTGAAGGAGGACAGGTTTTTTTGTTGAGATGACATTTTACTGATTCGCATTTGAAAGTCAAGTTTCCAGCGATATACATATACAACACATATACATGTATATGTGTTGTATCCAGATAAATCGTAAACAAAAATGTAATACAGTTAACAATATTTATATATTGGAGTTTCTCAGGAGGTAGTAAGTAGGGTTTTAGGTGTTCGGCCCTTTCGATTTCAATTATAATTTTTGATTTTTTTAATATCATTTTCCAACATTAATTCCATCTTTTTCTTCTCTTTTAGATGTTCGAAAATGATGCTCTGCCAAAGATCTTGTGTAAATCCTGTTTTCGTCAGGTTGAGGCCACTGCCTCGCTTTCCAAAATTGCCAAACACACACAGCAAGTTTTTCGGGATTTCCTTTTCAGTAGTTTGGTGAGTGGATATTGAAATTATTTTTAATTAAAAGAAATATTAATTTTGTCTTAATAATTTCAGCCCAAAAATACCAAACCTCTGGAGACCGCCAATAACTCCAACAGCGAATTTACATCTTCCGATTTCCTCAGCCAAAAAACAGATGGCGAAAAGACATCAAATGAGTCTTCCTCCTCATCTGCATCGAATGCAAAATCCCAACCACCTACTTTAACACAAATGCAATCACCTCCCCCTCCACCACCACCACAATCTGCCGCACAATTGTCAACCACACCACGTAAAGATGATGTTGTGGTCAATGTCTCAGTGGCCGATCCTTTGACCCGTGAAAATCAACAAAAAATGATTTCAAATTCCCAGAGACGTCACAGCATAATGGTGGATATTTCCTCAGTGGGTTCGCTATCGAATATTGCCACAAATTTGGCACAATTAAGTCAACAGAATACAAATAATACCGCCTCCAGTACTGGGCATTCTTCGGGTCGTAAATCCGCCAGTCCTGCACGTGTTATGAAATATTGTCAAATTTCAGCGAAATCCTTGCATCAGCATCAACCCAATCAGGTGACAACATTTTCAAGTGGCGGTTATGTTATTGAGCCATTGAAGCTGCCGACCGAGACAACTGCTACTACGGAAAAGGAGGTGAACAAAAAATCAACCCCACCCCTAACCATAACCGCCACGGGAGCAACACCAGCCGCCATTACGGTGACAGATAATACCATTTTACAACAAAAACGTAAAAATTTGGTCAAGGCCCTGAATAATATCAAGGCGAATAGCAGTGGTCAGGTATCATTGCTGAAAAGTTCGCAAACAAAACCAACGACAGGAGCACCAACATCCACTCAGAATCAACAACAATCTTTGTTGCTAACAAATCAATTGCCGTCGAAGACATCTCTCCTGGTGGAGAATATTGTCAAACAGGTGGGCGATGAATTGCCGGATCGCATAATAATTGCAGCACCGAAAAATAAGGCGGCAAATAAAATGAAGAAGCCAGAGGAGGCATCTGCCAATAATCCCACTGCGGTTATACCACCCAGTACCTTGGTTATATCCGAAATTCCTGCCAGCAAACAACCAGTGCAACCAACTGTGGTACAACAACAGCAACCCCAACAACCGCCGCCGGCTCCACAACCTACTAAATCATCTAATTTCCCTGAAGATATTCTTTTGGGCAGGGTAATCAAGGATCTTGATCTCTTGAAATTGATTTTGAAGGCCCTCAAATGGCCGGTAAATAAACAAAATATGGAACTGCAATTACAGCGTTTGAAAAATACCCGTTTCACCGACATTATGTCAGATCCAAATCTACTGCAAGACACCGATTTGACACAGTTGTTGGGACCATATTTGGCTCCTGTTCTCCTGGCGGCACAAGCCTTACAACAACAGCAACAACAAATTATGATGAATAATGGTTCGGCAGCAGCCAAGAAAACGAATCCTAGCCTTTTGAATACCACACCGAACAAGGTCGTTATTAACCCGACACCCATTGTTTTGGATCCCACAACGGAGGAAATCAATAAGGCCATACCATATAAATTACCACCTGAAACATCGGTGCAATTGGTGCCAGCCTTGCCAGAGGAAACGATGCAAAAGGAGATACCCACAACCCTCAAAAGATCCCATTCAAAGGAATCGAACAAGAGTTCGGCTCCCTTGGTTAAAAGGCAACGTAAATCTGCTGCTGGGGGTATACAAAAACATCGTGATTCTATTGTGATATCTGATGAGGAGGAGGAAGCCCCAGGGGCCAATGATAACACCACCAAGTCCAATGTTCGCCAGCGTTCCAATAAGCCCATGACTAATTACGAAATTGATTTGACCAACCCCAGTTTCTTGGTACAATTGGGACTGCTGAACGGCAGTTCCTCGGAACAAGCCAATGAGGCATTGATGGCGTTATTGGCCAAGCAGGCAAAAGTCAAACAGCAACAGAATGTCGCACCAAAGAAGAGGCATAGCAGTATTTCTCATAACCCAGTGGTTGCAAATAATGGCAACAATCCAAATTCCAGTGGAAATGCCAATGAATTTGATGGCTTAATAAATATTGATGATGATTTGGTACTCATGGAACCGGTAACCACCACCAGTACGCCGAATACAACTTCCAAGGAACCTGGCAACACGACGTTACCCACCATTGACATTAGCAACTTTGTAATGCCTCAGCAATTGCAGAATTCCACACCGATTATTACACGGCCCATAATTAAGCGGCGCAAGACGGTCATACAATCGGCAAAGGTAGGAGCGGTACCGGCAACCCCAACCACAACCAGTAGTGGTACTACACCAGAAGATTCCAATAAATTGGAAAAAGACTCCAAGAAACCAACACAAGAAGAATTGCCCAGTACCACGAGCAACACAACACCCTCCACACCCAGTAGTGCCGAAACATCACCCACAAAATCGGGAGGGGGCTCCTCACGTAAACAACAAAATAAAGCGGCATTGGGTCAACAACTATTGGAGGCAATTGGCCTACAGAAAATACAAACCAAAGAGACGGGTAATACCACCGTCCACTTTGCTGCCACTTCGGCAAATGATACGCCACCCTCCCCGGCAATGGGTGTCAAACAATCGGTACAACAAATACGTTCCGCCCTGAAGAAATCTTTAAAGAAGGCCCAGGAGCAACAACAAATGCGTAATAAAGATTCCGCCAGCACGACCACTACAACCATAATACAAGATGCCGATTCCACAACCAAGTCCACCATTAAGGATATTGTCATTGAACATCGTAGCAATAAATCGGTGGATAGTTCTACAACTCATGATGATATCGAAGAGCAAATTGAAACAATTACCTTGGTTAAGAGTCAAAATGGCCCAACACCACAGGAGAATACTCCTAAAGATGAACTTAAAAAGGAAAACGCAACCAGGAAAAAGGCTGGCAATACGGCAGGAAGGATAACGGAACGTAGAAGTACCTTACCCTCATCGGCGGGCAGGGTACGTTTTAATTTAAATACCAAACAGGATAAAGGAGAAGAAAAATCCACCGATAATGGTAAAAAGGAAACGGAAAACAAATCCTCTCAAGAAGAGAAAATGTAAGTAGCTTCCCGAACATTTAAGAAACCCTTCTTCTCACACTAAATTTCCATTACAGAAAATCGGAAGCCGATAGCCCCAATGTTAGTTCCACGTCATCAACAACCACCACGGATCAGCAGGCCAAGGAAGAAACTTCTGAGACACCACGACGCCGTGGAGGACGTAAACGTATTACAGAGGCAGCGGAGACCACAGAAAGTTCCAATGCCAATGAAAAAGAAAATAATGATAAGGAAAAAGAAAAAGATAAAACAAAAGAATCAGACAAAGACAGCGACAAGAAAAAAGACAAAGAAAATGAGAAATCCAAAGATAAAGATAATGAAAAGGAAAAATCGTCCGATAAAAATAAAGATAAAATCAAAGAGGAGCTGGATGACTCATCAAGGTATTTTCCATATTTATTTAAATTGTCTATCCTTTTTGTTAATGTTGTTTTTCCTTTTTTATTTTTAGCAATTCGGGTCGACCCACGCGACAAAGTAAAACTTTGTCGAAATATTATAAAGGCCCAGATAAGTCGGCTGTTAGTCGCCGTTCGCTGCCAGCTCGATCAACAAGAAATAGGTAAAATATTAATTTACTCATCAAAAATGGTTTAGATTTTAAACGCTTATATTGGAATTGTTGTTAAAAGGGTTTCCAATTTATATTTTGAAAAACGTTTGACTATTGTAGAAAATATTTCAGAGAAATATGTGGTGGTTGTGTATCTTAATGTAGCAATGATTTTAAGGGAACCGAAGAATGTGCGGCTTTCTTAAAAAAAACACACTTTGTAGAAATACAAGAGAAAATGATTGTTTAAGGAGTATTTTTAAGGATACAAACAGTGTTGAATTAAAGAAAAAAAATTGTAAGGGCCCGAAAAGATTTTTATTAAAAAAATATATATATTATATAGAATACAGCAGAGTCCAGTACTTTTTCGAAGATCTAACAAAGCGCTAATTTTTAAAGTACCCAAAGAGCGAATATTTCACAAAAATATATATTTAAAATGCCCAAGAAAGACACAACATGGAGTAAATTTAAAGGCAGTATTTGAAGAATTCCAGCAAGGGTTATTTTTTTAAATGACGCAGCAAAGCCAGCATTTTAAAGTACCAGTCAAAGGGCGAATATTTAAACCAAGCTTGGATTTTCAAAAGGCCATTTAACGTTTAAATTATTAAAGAATATTATTAAACAATACGCCAACAAGGCGTAGATTTAAAACAAATATATTTTATAGGTCCCAAAAAGGTGTAGATTTTTAAAATATTTATTTGGTAAGGTCTTAACAAGGCGTAGATTTTTAAAACATATTTTATTTTTAAAAAAATATATATTTTTTAAAGCTCCTAGCGTAGATTTTTAAAACATATTTTTTGAAGGTCCAACAAATATTTTTAAATAATCTTTTTTTAAGTCCTTACAAGGTGTAGATTTTGAAAAATATTAAAGGTCCTAACAAGGCATGATTTATTAAAGTGTGCATTTTGAAAGATCCAAATAAGGCGTAGATTTTTAAACAATTTATTTTAAAGGACCCAACAAGGCGGGATTGGTGAAAGCGTGAATTTTTAAAGAACCTAACAAGGTGTGATCCAAGAAACGGTGTTTTTTAAAGACAACAACAAGGCGGGGCCGTAGAAAGTGTGTGAATTTAAAGAATAGTTGTAAAAGGACTCAACACGGCGGGTCAGAGGAAAGATTGATTTTTAATAAAAATTTTTAATGGTCCAAAAATGGTGGGACCGAAGAAAGCGTGGACCTTTAAATGATTTTTAATAGACCTTACAATAGATATTTTAAGAATTTTTAAAAAACCTAACCTTAATTACAATTGGGGAATGTTTCAAGGGCTCAATAAAGCGTGGATTTTTTAAGAAACCTTACAATTGGGCAATATTTCAAGAGCTCAATAAAAAGTGGATTTTTATAAACTTTGCCAAGGGTGAACATTTTAAGGACCCAATAAAACGTGGACTTTTAAAAACCAAAGAGTGAATACTTAAGTGACCCAATAAAGCGTGAATTATAAAGGACCACATACTGGTTAAATTTTAAAGGATTTCTAAAGGACCTCACAAAGGGTAAATATTTAAGGGACCCAATAAAGCGTGAGGTTTTAAGGGACATTACAAAAGGGCAACTGTTTTAAGAACTTGATAAAGCGTGGATTTTTAATTAACCTTAGAAAGGCAGATTGTTTTAAGGATTTTTAAAAGAAAAAGTCAACATTTTAAATACCCAATAAAAGACTAAATGAAGCGAAGATGTTTAGAGGATGTGTGTGTTTATTTAAAGGTCCCAACAAAATTTGGGTTTTTATGAAGCAAACAGACTTGGATTTTTTGATAATAGGGAGCAGGACTCAACATATCGTTAAGGTTTTCAAATAATTGTTAATGGTTCCAAGAAATAATGACAATCATTTTTAAAGACCCAAACAGAACGTTGATTTTTTTCAATTATTTTATTAGAGACTCAAAAAGAGCAGGAATATTTTAAATTTATAATTTTAATCAAAAAGAGCGTACCTTTTTAGAATAATGTTTAAGGACTCAATCAAAGCATTTATGTTTCATGGCTAACATCTGCATGTGGTACAGTTTCAAAAGAGCGGACGTAAAAACCAAAACGATCCATCCTGACGTGTATAGTAGACAGCAAATTTATTTTCCCACAGTTGATGACCTTATCCCCTTTGTACAAGGCAATCACATCGAATTGTAACCGTTGTTGATGAATTTCGTTATTGAGGAAAATTATCTTCTGTTGACGTTCAAATAGTAACCAATTGCTGTCGCAGATCCACCATTGGGGTTTGTCAATGATGACTTCTCCTTGGGTTTCTGTGATCATCTGTCGAGTATCATATCAATATCCTTTGTGTGAGACCCTTAAGGTTGCTGTGAAGACATTCCAGCAGGTCCTACTTTCATTAATCGCCGAAACATGCGAGACCGAAGACTGATTTGTTGCTTGAAGATTGCTATGAAAACTTACCAATAGGTACGACTTTCATCTTTCGGATGGCGTCTTTCATGTTGTATTATTGTCCACTACCGATACTTGTGAGAACGCAGCCTAAGCTATTTCTTGCAACAATGGTACGCAGCTGGTTTATTTGCTTTACAAACCCAATTATTATCTCTCATATATCCTCACGATTTGTAGGTGATTCTTGACCCAAAGGAATTCCTTTTCGCCGATCAATAGGTTGTCCTTATTGATATATCGTTTACATATTAAAACATATTGCCCTCCGAAATGACTTTCTGTCCAATGCATCATAGGATTTTACACTTATGGGAGCTTGATGCGACGATCCCAAAGTGTCTAGGGAACACCTACTCATGAGTCCTACCACCTTAATGCCCGTCCGGTTCAGAAGCATCGGCCTATTGGCTAATGTTGATGTACATCCAACAATTTTCTCTTTGATAGAACCCACGCCATCAACAGGCATACTTGGCGGCCACTATTGGCTGGAGGGTAATGGGCTGATGAAGGTGAAATCAGCATTTTATTGTTTGTCCACCATAGGGGGTATATGTCGGCTGGCATTCTCTCTTAGCTTCATTAAGGCTGAGTTGGGATTCACTTTGTCTCATCAAATTGCAGTTTATGTCAATTAAAACCGAAGTGATGTCGTCGATGCGAGTGAACTCTCATTTTTTTGTTACAATAGAAGATACCTTGTTCGAGCAGTTACTTTGTTTTTAGTTCTGGTGTTTTCGTAAATGTGTTTGAATCCATAGGTTTGATACGAGTGAAGGACATGAAGATGACCATAATATTGCTTATTTATGGCAATAAATAGCCGACTTGGCAAGGACGTGGAGTCTAAACCTAATACTCATTGGGTCGACCAGATATCAATGACTCAAGTAGAGCCAGGATTTTTTAAATAATTGTTTCAAGGCCTTAAACATAGTTTTTTGAACAATTTACTTCTAAATTTGTATTCTGGGCAATCTAGAGCTTTATTTATTGATATATATCTGGGCTTTTAAGAAACACAACCACCACGAAAACAACAAATATGTAGTTTTTCTCTCTTCCCAATTTTTTTAGCACTTAATTATAATTTCAAAAATAATTTTACCTTCAGATTGAATTCATTGGATATTAATTGCAATTATTTACAAATACATACAAAAATGACCAAAATGATTGGTCGACCAAGAAAACTAGCAAAACCTATTACTATTACTACTAACAAAATGCGTGGATTATTTCAAGTAATGTCTAAGCAGCGTATAATCGATAAAATATCAAGAACATGTCAAGAACATTACAATTTTAAAAATAAACAATATCAAAATGCAATACTGGATCTCAGTTAAATATACAATTTAATAATATTTGAATTACAAGACTTAAATAATAAATAATATTTTTATTATATTCCTTTATTAAAATATTTTACACTGATCCATTATTGTATTCCACTTTAGGAAACTACAACCAATTCCAATATTTCTCTTTAATTATCATCTATCATCTCTTTCTTCATCCCATTTCATTACTTCAAAACATAACCTCAAAATTTCATCTTTAAGAAGTTTAACGATTTTTGTTTAAACTTCTAAAAATACTCATCTATTTTTAATAATATTTTGGCAATAACTTAATGAAATTCTAATCTATTTTCTATCTCTCTTTTCCTTTTATTGTCTCCCCCATCTGTTTGTTCCCAATGTTCCCACAGAAAATATTCTTAAATGTAAAAAAATGGACGTATAAAATTTAAAAATATTTAAAAAATGAAATAAAATCTATTGTGAATTCAAGCCTATATTTGTAACAAATTAAATTTGTATAAAACAACACTGTAAATAATGTTAAAGGCAATACAATGAAAAATTCAAATGTATTTTGAAATAAAATGAAATATTAGTTAAGGATATATTAATTTTAAATATATAAATTTAATAATGTATATAAACATTTTATAATTAATATTATAAGGTAGTAATTTACCTTAATGATAAAAAATCGTATCAAATTCAAATAGTTCTCAAAACTCGTTCAGGAGTTCCAATACATATATTTTGTTCTTATAATTAAAATTAATTTTATTTAAAACACAAAAAACCCTTCAATGTGTATAATGTATTTTATTTTTTACTTTAAAAATTAATTTTGTATTATTTTTTGTACATTTTTAAATTACTTTTTGAGTAATCAGTGTAAATAATTTTAGTTTTAAAACTATATTTAAAATTTGATTTGAATTAGTTCAACAAATGGAAAAACTAATAAATTTCTTTGAATTCAAAACAATTGAAATAAAAAAAAATGTTTACTATTTTTAAAAATTTATTGTTTTTCACATTTTAATATATTATTATATACACATATATATTAAAAAACAAAAACATTGCATTACATCGAAATATAAGATATAAACACATTTATTACAAAGTCTATGATATGACTCAAAATTAATAAAAAAATACATTTTAGATTTACATATTTGCATAAAAAATTAATAAAGATTATGTAGATACATTATATATTTTATATACTTACCTTATATCTTAATTATAGGTATATATACTTTATAATATAAAGTAT